CCTATTAAAAAACAATTGATGAACGATTTCACCTTGTTTTCCACGAAAATTTAGTCAAAAAAAAACATCTTTATAGGAGAAACTATGAAAACAATAAGTTTTATCAAAATTAGACGAATTACCGAGTACTCTGGCCATAACCTTGCAACAAAATAAGTAAATAATATTGAGAAAAAAAATGATTATTAGAAATACTTATATGCATGTTATAATCAGCAATGTTTAATAATAAGATTTCGACAATTGCATGATCTCGATCGAAAATTTTTACACAAAAATTTTTAGTTTTTCTTACCTACGAATTACAGCGGCTCCCAAAGTGACAGTAGTTGATCAAAAAATGCCTAGGTACCTGACGCTAATTTCAGACGGAAGTCAAAGGATATATTTTCAAAGCCGTCTTAGTTTTATGTATCGCTCTTTTTGAATAAAAAATGAATAACATTTTTTTTGTCTCTGCGTTTATTTTTTTACGATGTAGGTAAAAGCAAATTAAAAAGCATTTAATTTATTTACTTGTTAAATAAAATAAACTAAATAATAAGTGAAAACATTTCAAGACAATTTAAAATGTTTAACAGTAAATTGCATTCATTTCATATCAATGAAAAGCACACTTTAAATTGTATATTCAATAACTTTACTATATAACATTTTGTAAATTTATCTCGGATAATTAATTATTTACGATTTTTTATGCAAAAATTATTGTTTTGCACTATAACTCCAGAAATAACTAACTGTACTAGCCACTGCTCGAAACTTTTATTTAGTGAAGCTGTTAGAAATAGACAATGAAATTAAATGCTAAATATTAAAAATTGGATTAAAAATGAAAAAGTATCAGCATTTTTTAAAACCCCCAATGATAATGCACCCTTACAGTAGTAAAACATTATTTTTCTTTGGTTTTTCGTGTTGACCGTTTATTTTGTTTCATTACCTATTTTCAATAACTTTTTGTAGATTTATCTCGGACAATTAATTATTTACGATTTTTTATGCAAAACTAACTGTTTTGCGCTATAACTCCAGAAATAACTAACTGTAGGCTGTAAACTTTTATTTAGTGTAGCTATTAAAAATAGACAATGAAATTAAACGCTAAATATTAAAAACTAGATAAAAAATAAAAAAGTTTTACTATTTTTTAAAACCGCCAATGATAATGCACTCTTACAATAGTAAAACTTTATTTTTCTTGATTTTTCGATTTTTATGCAGAACTAACTAAACTATAGCTCGAGGAATAACTAATTGTGTATAGCACATTTGTAAATTTTTATTTATTTTATCTGTTAAAAATTACCAACAAAACTAAACGTTAAATATTAGAAATTAAATGAGAAATGAAAAAGTTGCAACCTTTTTTAAATCTGTCTAAAATCAAGCATTTTCAATAGTGAAACTGTTTTATCCTTCCCTGATTTTTCGTATTTAACGTTTATTTTCTTTCATTGCTAATTTTTAATAGCTTAGATGAAAAATAAAAAAGGTTCGCAAGTTTTACAATAGTAAAAGTTTTTAATTTTTCTTTGGTGTTCCATTTTTAACGTTTATTTTGTTTCATTGCTTTATTTTTTAACAGCTTCACTAGATAATATTTTGTAGATGAATCTTCTACAATTAGTTATTTTTGTAGTTATAGTGTAATTCAGTTTTGCGTAAAAAATACTTTAGGTAAAACTAATTGTCAAAGCTGCTTTCTAATGTTTTTAAGCATCTATTCTTCTTTTCATTGCTAATGTCTAGCGCCTTCACCAAATCAGATTTTATGACATACAATTAATCATGTAGTATGTATTTTGTGTGCAAAATTAACTTCTTAATCAGTGTAACTCCCATATTTCATTTAAGGAACAGGGGCTGTTATAACAATTAAGGCTTAATGTTCCTGAAAATTGTTAGTACAACTGATTATAAATATATTATATACTTTTTTGGAATACTAAGTGTAATAATAAGATTTTGAAACGTTTTAAGAAATTACTTTATTAAAATTCGTCTTTACATAATTGAATGTATAGCAGTTTTACAATTAAAAAAATTAAAACACTACTATTGAATCCGTAACAAATAAATTATTTTAGATTGTTTGAAAATTAGTGTTTAATTTTCTTGCAGCATCTTTTCATCTTACAATCATCGAGGAGGACCCTTGGATAATCCATCCTGGGAGGCAGACGATTAACTAACCCGATGGTGACGAGAATGGTAAGTTTTTCTAAATTTAATATTTTCTTATTTTCAATTTCCCTTTCGTTTGTTTATAACTCATTCGATTAATTTTTTGTAGATAATAATAGAGCTTTTGTGATAACTTTCGTTATTTTAACAGTATTTAGGGAATGCTTTGAGTAATTAATATTAAATNAATTAATTATTTACGATTTTTTATGCAAAAATTATTGTTTTGCACTATAACTCCAGAAATAACTAACTGTACTAGCCACTGCTCGAAACTTTTATTTAGTGAAGCTGTTAGAAATAGACAATGAAATTAAATGCTAAATATTAAAAATTGGATTAAAAATGAAAAAGTATCAGCATTTTTTAAAACCCCCAATGATAATGCACCCTTACAGTAGTAAAACATTATTTTTCTTTGGTTTTTCGTGTTGACCGTTTATTTTGTTTCATTACCTATTTTCAATAACTTTTTGTAGATTTATCTCGGACAATTAATTATTTACGATTTTTTATGCAAAACTAACTGTTTTGCGCTATAACTCCAGAAATAACTAACTGTAGGCTGTAAACTTTTATTTAGTGTAGCTATTAAAAATAGACAATGAAATTAAACGCTAAATATTAAAAACTAGATAAAAAATAAAAAAGTTTTACTATTTTTTAAAACCGCCAATGATAATGCACTCTTACAATAGTAAAACTTTATTTTTCTTGATTTTTCGATTTTTATGCAGAACTAACTAAACTATAGCTCGAGGAATAACTAATTGTGTATAGCACATTTGTAAATTTTTATTTATTTTATCTGTTAAAAATTACCAACAAAACTAAACGTTAAATATTAGAAATTAAATGAGAAATGAAAAAGTTGCAACCTTTTTTAAATCTGTCTAAAATCAAGCATTTTCAATAGTGAAACTGTTTTATCCTTCCCTGATTTTTCGTATTTAACGTTTATTTTCTTTCATTGCTAATTTTTAATAGCTTAGATGAAAAATAAAAAAGGTTCGCAAGTTTTACAATAGTAAAAGTTTTTAATTTTTCTTTGGTGTTCCATTTTTAACGTTTATTTTGTTTCATTGCTTTATTTTTTAACAGCTTCACTAGATAATATTTTGTAGATGAATCTTCTACAATTAGTTATTTTTGTAGTTATAGTGTAATTCAGTTTTGCGTAAAAAATACTTTAGGTAAAACTAATTGTCAAAGCTGCTTTCTAATGTTTTTAAGCATCTATTCTTCTTTTCATTGCTAATGTCTAGCGCCTTCACCAAATCAGATTTTATGACATACAATTAATCATGTAGTATGTATTTTGTGTGCAAAATTAACTTCTTAATCAGTGTAACTCCCATATTTCATTTAAGGAACAGGGGCTGTTATAACAATTAAGGCTTAATGTTCCTGAAAATTGTTAGTACAACTGATTATAAATATATTATATACTTTTTTGGAATACTAAGTGTAATAATAAGATTTTGAAACGTTTTAAGAAATTACTTTATTAAAATTCGTCTTTACATAATTGAATGTATAGCAGTTTTACAATTAAAAAAATTAAAACACTACTATTGAATCCGTAACAAATAAATTATTTTAGATTGTTTGAAAATTAGTGTTTAATTTTCTTGCAGCATCTTTTCATCTTACAATCATCGAGGAGGACCCTTGGATAATCCATCCTGGGAGGCAGACGATTAACTAACCCGATGGTGACGAGAATGGTAAGTTTTTCTAAATTTAATATTTTCTTATTTTCAATTTCCCTTTCGTTTGTTTATAACTCATTCGATTAATTTTTTGTAGATAATAATAGAGCTTTTGTGATAACTTTCGTTATTTTAACAGTATTTAGGGAATGCTTTGAGTAATTAATATTAAATCTATTGCTTACTTACCTTGGCATAATTTTTTTTTAATTTTGTCTTGGAGGGTGTATGCTTCGATTAATTATCTTTTCAACAGTTTCAGTACCTAACTATTTTTAATCATTTTAGAGGATTTTTTTAGGATACTTACCTTTAAGCAGTTTCTTTTTATATGTTTGTAATAACAGTTGTTTTCAATTTTTACTAATGTTTATGTTTATAGCATGAAACTATTTTAACGCAGGTAATTTACCATTTTCTTTTTCTTATTTTAACAGATTTAGTTTAGTTGTAGATGTCTGTCTCTGTTTACTTTTATTTTTAGGAATATTCTTAGTCAAATTTTGAATGTTTTTATGTTAATGACAATGGTTTGAATTTATACTCTTTTTTTTCCAGGAGCTGTTACATCTGGGCGTCACTCTTCCAGTATTCATCGGGGGACCAAGGATGCCTGGCGTCGAATTCGGTCGGGAGTGTCGTTCGGGAGTGTTTTGGGGCTTCCAGATTCGAACTGCGAAGTCTCCAATACTCGGGATCTCGAATTTTCCGAGATCTTGAGTCTTGGAAACTTCTAAATTCGAATCCCACGGCTCCCAAAACGAAGAATCCCAAATCCTTCCCTTCCCGAAGGATTTAGGATTCTTTGTTTGGGAAGTCTTGGGACTCGTTTTTGGGAGTTTCCAATACTCAATATCACGGAATTTTCGAAATTACGTGTACTGGGGACTTCTAAGTTCGAATTTGGAACTCCAACCTTCGGGCCTTGTCCCGGACGGTCTTCGAATTAAAAAAACCTTTAGCGCTAAACCTGGTAGGCGTGAAAAATTTATTTTGTTCTTTTTTTATTAAATAAAACAAGTAGTACGGCTCTCTTCTTTTATTTAGTCCCTATCCCCTCCGCCCTCCCCCCGTGCCCCCCTTCCCCACATTCACACTCTCATTCACACCCTCTCATTCGCTGTGGGGGAGAATAAAAATGCAGGAGGGTGAACAGGAGTTTACCCTCATGCATTCTCATTCTCCCCCACTCTCGTTCACACCCTTTCATTCGTAGTGGGAGAGAGTAAAAGTGCATGAGGGTGAACAAGAGTTTACCCTCATGCATTCTTATTCTCCCCCACTCTCTCTCGCTCACACCCTCTCATTCGTAGTGGGAGAGAATAAAAATGCATGAGGGTGAACAGGAGTTTACCCTCATGCATTCTCATTCTCCCCCACTTTCTCTCTCATACATACACGTCATACATACATACACACTTTCACACATTCACGCCCTCGTTCACACCCTGACATTCGTAATGGGAGAGAATAAAAGTGCATGAGGGTGAAATAGAATTTACCCTCATGCATCCTCATTTTCCCCCACTCTCTCTCGCTCGTACACATACACACACAAAACCAGTCTCACTTTCATCCTTACCCTCATTCACAATAGGGAAGAAGAAAAATGCACAACGATGAACGGGAACGCGACCGTTTACCCTCATGCATTCTTATTTTCCCTATCCCTCATGCATACACAAACTCCCATATTCGTTCTCATTCTCACTTTTGTTCATCCACTTTCTCATAGCAGAAACTAAGAATGTAAGAGGGTGAACGGGAATGCGGCCATTTACCCTAATTCATTCTTATTTTCTACTCACTTATACACACACAAATTCCCATTTTCAATCACATTTACCCATACTCATTTATGGGAGAACAGAAATGCATGAGGGTGAACGGTAATGTGACCGTTTATTCTCATGCATTCTTATTTTCCCTTACTCATACACACACAAATTTCCATTCTTATTCGCAGTTTAAGTTTTAAAACAAAAATGCATGGGGATGAACAAGAGTGTGACTTTATCCCAATGCATTCTTATTTTTTCTCACCCTCTCTCATTCATACACAAATAAATTCCCATTCTCATTTTCGATCTCATGCAGCCTTCACAATCACAATGACTACTTTTTCTCCCTCAGTCTCTCCCCTTAATGAATTTCCTTTCTTTCCCTTTTTATTACTACATGGTATTTACAAAGATATCCTTAATAGTTAATAAATACTAAATAATGGAATTTTAGCCTTAAGTATATGGTAAGTACAGTTCAAATAAATGATATTACTAGTATTCATAAATTAATTCCTAAAATATTAATTATATAAATAGTATAAATTACATCTCAAGTAATTGCTGTAAATTATCTTAACTACTAAATTTAATAACGTATAACGTAGATCATTATTTTTTTAAATATTCATTACAGTTTACATTAACAATTGAAAAAGTGGATTTATTGTTGTTATGTTAACTAACGTTTAATTTGTAAACTATTTGATGAAAATAAAAGGAAAAACTCAAACATTAATCTTTTTTGAAAAGTTACTCTTACGCTTAAGAAAACATTTAAAAACGGAATTTGGAGTGTAGAAATGCAAGATACCTAATGATTGTATAATAAAAAATTAATCAAATTAAAAAAAAATTACCACAATTGACTGTACAAAATAATAAGCCACAATAATGCAAACTAGATAAAAAATTAAGCTAAAGAAAAATAACAATGTAATATGAATGAGAAGTTCCAATATACTATTTATATGATTTTGCTAATAATTAAACATGTGAAAGTAATCTATTAAAAAGAAATCCAAATGAAGAACGACAAATTAATTATAAAAGCTTAAATGAGAAAATTACAATTACCTGTCCTACGAAGAAGTTTAAATGAAAAAGAAAGTATTAAACTATAGCAGCATAAGAGTAATTAAAAATATTGGAAAAGAAAATGGAAATTATTAAAGCAAAATTTTGTTCAATAAACCCACTCAAAAAAATAAATTTTAAAAAGTAACACTCCATTGTTCCATCATCCACCGAAGCTAGATGATGGTAGGGCTCCAACGCACCTTAGGAACTTACTCCAACAGCAAAATATGGACATCGTCGAATCTGAAAAAATATTTTCAAGAAATATTAATTTTTCGTTGAATCAAATTAAGTCTGTATAGGTAAATAATCCAATAAATTTATTAACATTAATATTTTTTCAGTAAATACATTCATCTAATTTCGCGCGTATACTGAGAATTTGAATTTTAAAAATTATATGCGAATATTCGCGCTCTATATATAGGCAACCCATTCTACTGCACAGTATTCTCGTAGTTGGTGCAGCAGTAGAGTTCCAATCTTTTGATTAAAAACTTACTTTTCAAAAAGAGGGTAAAAAATATTTACTAGTAAATCACAGTGAATACACCCATAACTACATTACTACAACTTAGTAATTCCAGTTCGTTTCATTAGGAAGAAATTAACTTATCATGAAATAAAAACGACGATTTTAAATTGTGGGGATTGAAAGTGCACCCTGGAAGTTTCTACCTATAAAATTCATTCAACTGACAACTTACAACATCATAAATACATTTTGATACTTCCAGCTTGTTCAGTAAGGGAGAAATTAATTACTCAAAAAATAAAAACGACGTTTTTAAATCAAGGGTTGAATGTGCATCCCAGTAATTTCCAACTATAAAATTTGTCACACTAATGCCTGAGAACTATTTTAATGAATTTTAGTACCTTCAACTACTTTAGTAAGGGAGAAATTAATTTATCAAGAAATAAAAGTGACGTTTTTAAATCAAGGGTTGAAAGTGCATCCCAGTAATTTCCAACTATAAAATTTGTCTCACTGATGCCTGAGAACTATTTTAATGAATTTTAGTACCTTCAACTAGTTTAGTAAGGAAGAAATTAATTTAACAAAAAATAAAAGCTTTGATACACTTTCGTACCTTTAGCTCGTTTAATGAAGGAAAAATTTATTTTATGTGTAAGGGAAAGATAAAAAGATTATTCCTACCTTTCCAATGCAGTATGTAGTGTCAATGATTTGGAATATTTCTGGAATAACATTGTTGTGTCCGCTTCTGTGGTCAACAGCCCGAAACACTGAGGGAATACTCCGTAGAAGAATAGTTCCGAGTACTAAAATAATAACAATTTTATTGTATGATCAATAAGAAAATATTAAAACGTTTCAGAACAACGTTATTACACCTTGGTACCTTCAACTCGTTTAATAAGGGAGAAATTAATTTATCAAGAAATAAAAACTACGGTTTTATACTAAGGGTTGCAAAAGTGCGTCGAGATAATTTTCAACTATAAAATTTTTCCTCATGTATATCTCAGAATAGCTTTAATACATTTCAGTACCTTCAGCTCAGTTAATAAGGGGGGAATTAATTAATAAACACATCGTTTTTATATAAAGGGGTGAAAGTGCATCTCGGTAATTTCCAACTATAAGATTTGTCTCACTGATGACTCAGAATGACTTTAATACATTTTGGTACCTTAAACTCGTTTAATAAGTGTGAAATTAATTTATCAAGAAATAAAGACGATGTTTTTAAACTAAGGATTAAATGTGCATCCCGGTAATTTCTAACAATATTTGCCTCACTGATGCCTGAAAACTATTTCAATGAATTTTATTACCTTCAACTAGTTTAATAAGAGAGTGAATGTGCACTTTGATAGTTTCAAATTACCTATAAAAGTTTTCTTTCTCATGTCTCAGAACAACTTTGATACACTTTCGTACCTTTACCTCGGTTAATAAAGGAGAAGTTTATTTTATGTGTAAGTGAAAGATAAAAAGATTATTCCTACCTTTCCAATGCAGTATGTAGTGTCAATGATTTGGAATATTTCTGGAATAACGTTATTGTGTCCACTTCTGTAGCCAACAGCCCGAAACACTGAGGGAATACTCCGTAGGTGAATAGTTCCAAGTACTAAAATAATAACAATTTTATTGTATGACCAATAAGAAAGTATTAAAATGTTTTAGAACAACTTTATTACACCTTGGTACATTTAACTCGTTTAATAAAGGAGAAATTAATTTTAAATTTAAAGAAAAGGTAAAAAGATGAACCGTACCTTTCCAATTCAGTAAGCAGTGTCGATGATTGGAATATTTCTGGAATAACATTGTTGTGTCCACTCAGTAGTCAACAGTCGAAACACTGAAAGAGCTTCCGTAGGTGAATAGTTCCAAGTACTAAAATAATAACAATTTTATTGTATGATCAATAAGAAAATATTAAAACGTTTCAGAACAACGTTATTACAAAATAACAATGTAATATGAATGAGAAGTTCCAATATACTATTTATATGATTTTGCTAATAATTAAACATGTGAAAGTAATCTATTAAAAAGAAATCCAAATGAAGAACGACAAATTAATTATAAAAGCTTAAATGAGAAAATTACAATTACCTGTCCTACGAAGAAGTTTAAATGAAAAAGAAAGTATTAAACTATAGCAGCATAAGAGTAATTAAAAATATTGGAAAAGAAAATGGAAATTATTAAAGCAAAATTTTGTTCAATAAACCCACTCAAAAAAATAAATTTTAAAAAGTAACACTCCATTGTTCCATCATCCACCGAAGCTAGATGATGGTAGGGCTCCAACGCACCTTAGGAACTTACTCCAACAGCAAAATATGGACATCGTCGAATCTGAAAAAATATTTTCAAGAAATATTAATTTTTCGTTGAATCAAATTAAGTCTGTATAGGTAAATAATCCAATAAATTTATTAACATTAATATTTTTTCAGTAAATACATTCATCTAATTTCGCGCGTATACTGAGAATTTGAATTTTAAAAATTATATGCGAATATTCGCGCTCTATATATAGGCAACCCATTCTACTGCACAGTATTCTCGTAGTTGGTGCAGCAGTAGAGTTCCAATCTTTTGATTAAAAACTTACTTTTCAAAAAGAGGGTAAAAAATATTTACTAGTAAATCACAGTGAATACACCCATAACTACATTACTACAACTTAGTAATTCCAGTTCGTTTCATTAGGAAGAAATTAACTTATCATGAAATAAAAACGACGATTTTAAATTGTGGGGATTGAAAGTGCACCCTGGAAGTTTCTACCTATAAAATTCATTCAACTGACAACTTACAACATCATAAATACATTTTGATACTTCCAGCTTGTTCAGTAAGGGAGAAATTAATTACTCAAAAAATAAAAACGACGTTTTTAAATCAAGGGTTGAATGTGCATCCCAGTAATTTCCAACTATAAAATTTGTCACACTAATGCCTGAGAACTATTTTAATGAATTTTAGTACCTTCAACTACTTTAGTAAGGGAGAAATTAATTTATCAAGAAATAAAAGTGACGTTTTTAAATCAAGGGTTGAAAGTGCATCCCAGTAATTTCCAACTATAAAATTTGTCTCACTAATCCCTGAGAACTATTTTAATGAATTTTAGTACCTTCAACTACTTTAGTAAGGGAGAAATTAATTTATCAAGAAATAAAAGTGACGTTTTTAAATCAAGGGTTGAAAGTGCATCCCAGTAATTTCCAACTATAAAATTTGTCTCACTAATCCCTGAGAACTATTTTAATGAATTTTAGTACCTTCAACTACTTTAGTAAGGGAGAAATTAATTTATCAAGAAATAAAAACGACGTTTTTAAATCAAGGGTTGAAAGTGCATCCCAGTAATTTCCAACTATAAAATTTGTCTCACTAAT